GCTGGTGAATTTATATCTTAGGCCTTTATTGATTATTGGATGGCCACTAGAATAAAAATTGAGTATTCGGTTGCTCATATTCATACTCAAAATGGTCTAGCAGAATCGTTGATTAAATGCCTCCAATTAATAGCTAGACCATTGCTAATGAGGACAACACTTCCCCTTTCAGTGTGTGGACATGCTATTTTGCATGCAGCAGCACTGGTGCACATAAGGCCAACAAGTTATCATGAAGTCTCCCCATTACAATTGGCTTTTGGTCAAGAGCCAAATATTTCCCATCTAAGAATTTTTGGATGTGCGGTATATGTTCCAATTGCTCCACCGCAACGCACAAAGATGAGTCCTGATTAGGCCCAACGATGCTTATAAAAAGGAATAAGCGGTCGTTGCAAATATAATCCGGTTTACAAGTCCGGAGTCGAATCCCACGGGAAATTAACCTACTAATCACAACTGCTAATTTAGCAAGAATTCAAGTAATTAACTTCCAGAATATGGAATAATGAGTTGAGTGTTACTAACTAAAACCAAGGTAATTAAAAAACTGTAATTTTATTACTAACAAAGCAAATATTCTGGACAAGATTGGAAAGCTCTAGGGTTACGATTTTCCCTCTTATTGGAATTCACCCGCTACGTCTCCTATAAATTCGCCTAGATATTCTCTACCGATTGTGAGCACTTTAGGTGTCATAATTCTCTTCCGAGCAACTATAACAATATACTACATGTATTCTTTCGAATTACGCTAGCTAGCATTAGTTCACACCAAGGTTTCATTATCCTAATCCCACCTTTAAACCCTCCGTATTGATCCCTCATATACGTTATGAGTGATGTTGTTCAACAACTACCTAAATATGTACCATTTTTCAAGTAATACACACTAAATAGGCATAGCCAATTGAGGGCCCTTCAATCAACCACAATAATCACGTAGTTGAACAAGTAGAGAAAATTCAATGGCAAACTTATATTAAACGCAACAAAAATTCATCCTCCAAGAGGTTCCATCAAACCCTAAAATAAAAATTTTAGCTACTCATAATTGTTTGCACAACTATAATATAAGAATTCATCACCAATAATAGAAAAGGAAGAAGAAAGATAAAAACTCGTCTCCGAATCCGTTTTGCTCCTTAATTGTTCTTGCCTTCAAAGATGTTGTGTAACCCTCCAGTAGTGTCTGCTCTCTCTAGAGTGGCAGCTTCCCCTTAAAATTACGTTTTATGATGTATTTATATGACCTAGGTAGGGTGGAGGGCCATCCAATGCAATCCAAAATCGGATAGGAGAACTGGAGGGCACGTCTGCCTTCGCGCGTCGCCCATGGATGCGGATTCACCTTGTGAAATTCTTCTATTTCGCAATGTGATCCGTGCCTTTGCTTGACTTCGTTGTTTTGTGCCCACTTTTCTCCTTTTTGCAATAATTTGATATATTTTGATCCATTATCATCCGAGCTCACTTCTACAAATAAGAAATACGTAATGAATATAATTCACTTCAAAAATTATGTAATCTCCCGCAACTCACACGACAAATGAGATGAAAGTACACTCAAAATCATACACTTTGACCATTTATCAGGGCCCCCAAAAAAGGTTGGGAATATATATTGGTTATGAATCTCCTTCTATTATCAAATATGTGGAGCTTATGACAGGAGATATGTTTACGGCCAGTTTTGCAGATTGTCATTTTGATGAATCAGTTTTTCCAACATTAGGGGTAGAAAGTAAACAACCTGAAAAAGAGATAGATTGGAAAGTATTATCTCTATTTAGATTCCCGTACAAATAAATGTGAAAAAAAGTTCAAAAGATCATTTATATGCAAAATGTGGTGAATCAACTGCCGGATGCATTTACTAACCTTCCACGAGTTACCAAACTGCATATTCTAGATGCAAATGCTCATATTCAAATTGATGTCCCAGTAGGACAATCTGTTAAAGCAAATGAGTTTAAGCCACAATTAAAACGTGGTAGACCAATCGGAAAGATAAAAATCCTCAAAAAAGAAAAATAATAAATGATCAAGATGGTCATAATATGGAGGTAGTTACTCAAGAAGAGCCACGAGACATAACAATGGATAAAACCTCAGGAGAGGTTCAGGTACCTAAAAATAATGAAAATGAAGAGACATCAATAAATTATGTCTCAAATGGAAAAAGATGGAATCGAAATGATATAGTTGTCGATAATATTTTTGCTTATAATGTTGTTGAAATAATGCAACAAGATAAAGATCTTGAACCTAAATCTGCCGATGAATGTAGAAGAAGAATTGATTGGCCAAAATGAAAACACGCTATCCAAGTATAATTGGCTTCACTTAAAAAACGTGAAGTTTTTGGACCTATAACCCGAACACCTGAAGGTGTAAAGCCTGTGGGGGTACAAATAGATTTTTGTGCGAAAAAGAAATGAATAAAATGAAGTCGTAAGATACAAAGCTCGACTTATGGCACAAGGATTTTCGCAACGAGCTGGCATTGATTTTATGGAGACATATTCTCCTGTGGTGGATGCAATCACATTCAGGTATCTTATTAGTCTGGCAGTACATGAAAAATTGGATATGGTCTTATGGATGTTGTCACAGCGTATTTAGATGGCTCATTGTACAACAAAATTTTTATGAAAATCCCCGAAGGATTCAAAGTGCCTGAACATTTAAAGATTCCCGGGAAACTTATTCAATAAAGCTTCAGAAATTCTTATACGAATTGAAGCAATCAGGGCGCATGTGGTATAATCGCCTTAGCGAATACCTATTGAAAGAAGAGTACAAGAATGACTCAGTCCTTGTGCTTTTATAAAAGGATCTGGATCTAAGTTTGTCTTAATAGCTGTGTACGTTGATGACGTGAATATCATTGGAACTCTTGAATAGCTTCCAAAGCTAGTAGAATGTTTGAAGAATGATTTTGAAATGAAAGATCTCGGAAAGACAAAATTTTGTCTTGGATTACAAATTGAGTATTTCAAAAATGGAATATTTGTCCATCAATCAACAATAACAACAACAACGACCTAGTGAAATCCCACTAGTGGGGTCTTGTCCATCAATCAACATACATTAAAAATATTTTGAAGCGCTTTTATATGGATAAAGCACATCCATTGAGTACCCGATGGTTGTGAGATCGCTTGATATAAATAAAGATCCATTTCGCCCTCATGAAAATGATGAAGAGCTTTTAGGTGTTGAAATACCATATTTTAGTGTAATTGGAGCATTAATGTATCATGCTAATAATTCTTGACCAGATATAGCTTTCCCCATAAGCTTGTTAGCAAGATTTAGTTCTTCCCCAACACGAAGACATTGGAATGGTATTAAGCATCTATTCCGATATCTCCGAGGGACCATTGATATGAGATTATTTTATTTAAATGAATCCATCTCACAACTGAATGGTTATGCAGATGCAGGATATTTGTCAGATCCACATAAGGGTCGATCTCAAACATGCTATTTATTCACATGTGGAGGTGTTGCCATATCATGGTGTTTAACAAAACAAATGATGGTTGCTACTTCTTCAAATCATGTAGAAATAATAGCTATTCATGAAGCGAGTCGAAAATGCGTTTGGTTGATATCAATAACTCGACATATCCCGGAGATATGTGGTCTTTCATGGGGAAATGATATCCAATAATATTGTATGAAGATAATGTTGCATGTATAACTCAACTTAAAGGAGGATATATTAATGGAGATAGAATAAAGCACATTTCACCAAAATTCTTTTTCACGCATGATCTTCAAAAGAATGGTGAAGTAGATGTTCAACAAGTTCGTTCAAGTGATAATTTAGCAGATTTGTTCACTAAGGCATTACCGACATCAACATTTGAGAAGTTGAGATATAGGATTGGAATGCGTCGTCTCCGAGATATCAAATAGAATATTTATCAGAAGAGAAATATGCGATGCACTCTTTTTTCTTAACCAAGGTTTTGTCCCAATTGGGTTTACATTGTAAGGTTTTTAATGAGGCAGCTCTCAATGCGTATTACAAGATATTACAAGATTGTGTACTCTCTTTCTTTCACTAGACTTTTTCCCACTGTATTTTTCTTAGTAAGATTTTAACGAGGCACTATTATCTTTTGAATGACATCCAAGGGGAGTGTTATAAATCCACTTGCATAGAAGGTGGATGTTCAACTTGAGATTTGGAAATCTGGCCGTATCTTAGATTTGTCTTCATGTCTAGATTTGTGTTGATTTTAAAACTTATTACTAGATTTAGGAAGTTATACGTAACAATGCAATAGTATCTATAAATAGGTTCATTCATGAACCTAATGAAAAAACTTTTTGAAACAAAGAAAGAAACGTTACTTTCTACTATTATCATTGAAACGTTACTTTCTACTATTATCATTCTCTTCTATTATTAATCTTAATTGCATAATTCTTGCTATATAGTTTTTATTTCATAACACCTAATAGTATTTTTATTTTCTTGTAATATATGGGGTCACTTGAAAGCTTGGATAAATTATTGTCTTGCAACTTTTGCTTTATGCTTTACCTTATTTATATTTTAGAAAACAAACATCCAAACGTTAACTTTTCCTTAGAAAATTAGAACAAGTTATCCAAACAAAATTTTAATTTCTCTTTCGAAAAGCCAACATCTGAAAGTTTGATCATTTATTTCTTAGTTTGCTGTACGAACAAAATATTTAGCCTAATTAGGCACTTCCATTTGAAAAGCCAATAAAGTCTTTAATCTTTTTGCCACTACATTTTGAAATTGTTGAAATATTATTTTAGAGGTAATGTCAGGTCCAAACAACAAATGATTAAGTGGACAAAATGCAAAGTGTATTACACGAGTTTATTGCTGTGCCTGTTATCTTATTATTAAACATTGTCTATTTTTTGACTTAATTCAAACCAAATGAGTACAGCTCTAGCCTATTCTTCCCAAACACAAGAAAATGATTATTCATCATCACCAAGCTGTGTTGAATTTTAATCAAACTGTCCATACCTTTTCATTACTAAATTGGCCGCAGTTGTTTAGTATACATACTTTTGACATCACTCCAGAAATAATAAACAGTGAGCAAGATCTCAATGGCTGGAGATGAAAGATTGTTGGAGGGAATGTTTTGACATGTTCAGATCATTCACAGTAACTGATGAGGCTATTCTAATACACTATTTCCAGTTTTCCATCTGCAGAATATGCACAACACTGGTTTGCTTTTTTTCTGAGATAGGACGCCAAATCTAGAGTTCATTCATATCACCACTTGGATGATTTTCCACATTAATATGGCTACTTGAAAATTTTCCCCCGCTTTTCAGTGTGCACAACAGGGAAGACCCAAAAGTTCAAGCACAAAAAGTTTACAACAAGTTCATCCGGCTTTTCTTATAGCTAGAGCAGTCTGGAAAAAGTTTAACTGGCTATAATATAGAAAACAAAGCTAGAACTGACTTACCTTTCTAGCAACTAATATACCAAGGTAATATCTGCAACTGATAGATGCATCTTTGACGAGCTACTGAAGTTTTGAAGGAGAGGGTTGACGAGCTGCACCATCTTCCTCTTTGCATATGACAACTTTGGTCGTCTCATCCGAGCATTGCTGCATCTGACTGCCATCCTTCTCGTCCTTATGCGGAGCTTCAAGCTCTACTTCCTCAGGAATCACTCCCGGAATATTCTGCTTTGGAGGGGTTGTCTTATCTGAGCATTGCTGCATCTGATTACCATCGCTCTCGTCCTTAGCCAGAGCTTCAAGCTCTACTTCCTCAGGAATCACTCCCGGAATATTCTGCTTTGGAGGGGTTGTCTTATCTGAGCATTGCTTCATCTGATTACCATCGCTCTCGTCCTTAGACAAAGCTTCAACCTCTAATTCCTCAGGAATCACTCCGGGAATGTTCTGTAGCACAAATGGCAGGTATGAAGGTTGCTGTAGGAGTTTTTTTCTCTCAAAATACCGGAAAAGTGTAAAGACCAAAGGGGTTAAGGAAACACTTTTCTTTGCAGAATAGACCAGGATGAAGAACAGCGATACAACAATACACAGACACAAATGATTAGGAAGAGGCGCTAAAATTGGTGATCCACAGATAGTGATATAATAATTTCGTCACCAAAAAAGAAAAGAAAAAGGATATTCATTTCTCCATCCTTTCTCATTTGCCCGGTCAATGAGTTTCTTCAACAAATCCAGCTCTCGAGCAATCCTCTGACAGTAAAAAGGAAAGAGAAGAACCAAATAATTTTAAAGGTGGGTGGCATCAGATATTCAGATGTTCCGCAAATACATTGATTGAAGGTACAAATAAACAGGTGAAGAATATTTTCGTGTTACTGAAATGGAAGCTGAAATCATTTTATAACATTTGATCCGTGTTGCAGGATCATATTCTGTATTCTCATGCTGATGGAGTATAAACTAGTAGTGTAAGACTGAAACCATACATGCTTTGTGATGTCTTCATGAAGGATTTTAGCCTTCTGTTCAAGCTCCACCTGCAAAAAGGAGACTAAGTTTTATGGTAGTACAGTAGTACTAAACAGAATTGGAGTTCAGATGAATCTATAACTGGAAAACTTGATGCACTGCGCTTTGCGCTTACATCTTTTCAGATATGTAGAACACCAACATAAAAGTACGAGCTTTCTAATACCTTAAGAATTTAGTAGAGGTTACACACAATTCAAAAGGACTCTCCATATACTAACTACAAAAGAAGCATTGCGTAAACTCGCAAGCTGGAAGACTCCCTCATGACCTCCCACTGGGCAAGAAGGGCACGAATCCATGTAACCACTATTGAATCACGTTGCTCGGCTGATCTGAAGTGGTGTTCTAGATGAACATATTCGATGTCCAGTTGTACTCCCATCTTAAAACCTTCCCATTAATGCAATTCTAAAGTCATCTTGTTCTCTTTTGGAGGAAAAAACATTCATGTGCCATGCCGATGGGAAGTCACATGTTGGCACTGTAGAGTTTACTCAAAAAGAAAGATGTACAATGGGTTTCAGCGAGGCATGCTTTTTATTTGAAATGGAAGACAGTAATAAGGACCAGCTACCAGGCACTTTTACTTGGTGACACAAAACTGAGGACAATATCAAGTACATGGAATATTTAAACTGCTAGAGACCAGGACTGGAGAAACTAAGCATCAACTTTCTTCGCATTGTAGTGGCCCATTTTCCATCAACAACAATAAGGGAAAGGATTAGAAGAAGAGGAAGATTGAGAATTCACTTCTGCACCAGTGATTATTTTAGACTGGAGAAACTAGCTCCCTATCGTAATCCATACTAAAAGCTATAACGCTTAATAATCCAAGAGAAATTGGTTGTCCGAGAGGGAAACCAGAGCTTGCACTGAGCAGTGCGAACAGAGAGATCACATCCTTTTTTTGGGGAGTCACATGTTGGCACTGTAGAGTTTATTCAAAAAGAAAGATGTACAATGGGTTTCAGCGAGGCATGCTTTTTATTTGAAATGGAAGACAGTAATAAGGACCAGCTACCAGGCACTTTTACTTGGTGACACAAAACTGAGGACAATATCAAGTACATGAAATATTTAAACTGCTAGAGACCAGGACTGGAGAAACTAAGCATCACCCTTCTTCGCATTGTAGTGACCCATTTTCCATCAACAACAATAAGGGAAAGGATTAGAAGAAGAGGAAGATTGAGAATTCCGAGAGGGAAACCAGAGCTTGCACTGAGCAGTGCGAACAGAGAGATCACATCCTTTTTTTGGGGTAAAAATTAGCTGGAATATGATAGTCAAACATATTAAAGCTTTCAATGTTCCAGGAATATCCCGACTATGTTTCAATGGGATAGCTATGTCAAAGTCTAGAGGTGGCAATTTGAGCCCAAACCCATTTGACCCGCCCAAACCGCCCAAGGTTGGGCTGGTCATTGACCCGCCGATTTGTTGTACTCGGCCCATCTTGACCCAACTCATTTCAATCCATCTAAAGTTGGGATAATATTTAGCCCAAATTGATCCATGAGTGATTTTGTTAAAATATCTTTAAAATATTTTTTTTTTGTTTGATATGTTATACATGACCATAATAAAAGAGAAAAGTCTTATTTGATAATTAAATAATTTATAAGAAAACAACACAAATTTATTAAAGCTTGGTAAATGTTGGGCAGGTTGGGCTATGACCCAAAGTTTAGCCCAACTTGACCCAACCCATCTCAACCCAAGTTACTTTAGGGCGGGCCAAATGACTCGCCCATTTATTGACTCAGCCCTTTTTGACCCGCCCAAAATCAGCCCAACCCACTCATTTGACACTCCTATATCAAACTGCAAAAAAAAATACTTACAATTGTAGGCTTTTTAAGCAGGCCTTTTTTCACCTTCTCTCTCAGATCATCACATTCTTCCTGAAACACAGAGTAAAATGTCAAAATACATAGAGTTAAAGGGTCAACTACGAAAGCTTCCTGCCAGATTTCCCCACAGTTAAGGTTTTCCCTAAGTATAGAGGAATATATGTAACAGCTTCAAATCAAGTAAAGTTGAGATACTATGTTGTATTTTGAAGAAACAAAAACTAGCTTCCATTTAGATCTAGAGTACTAGAAACGTTCAATCAGTTTTGTCCTCCACAGTTAAAAATACTCAAAACGATCCCAAACTCTCAACTGAAAAGTAGATGGAAAAGGGAATAATCAGTAGGTACCTTCCTAATAGGCCTATAATTTTTTTGGATAAGTATTTCTCATCTATACTATTAAAAGCGCGAAGCCTCTTAGCGAAATGTCGTTCGCCTTTTTACCCTTTAAAAATTGATGTCACATCGGACAAAATTGTAATTGTGTATTTTAATTATTTTCCTAATACAATATAGGACTTTAAAATCAACTAAATTTTATTTGTTAAATTCTTACTTATTTGAACTATGTAAAAACTCTAATATGTAGGAATTTAAACTTGAGTAAGTTTATTTTTATAAATCTTTTCCTTATTTAACTCGTGTAACTATTCACGATTCTTGACATGTTAGAAATTGTAATGAAAGCTTTTCTTCAAAGTTTGTCTTCGTTTTTTTTTTTTGTAGATTAAACACTTAAGAATCATGAAGCATGTGTTTAAAATTCAATTTTTTGTTGTCTTCTTTTTGGACCATGTGAGTAGTGGTAACTCTAATTTTTTGACATTAGCAAAAAGTATCTAAGGTGACTTAGAAACTATTTTTTTTTAATATAAACCTTTTAATCATTAATGATGGAAAACACATACATCATATTATACATAAAATACAAACGTCACTTAATCATTTTTTAATATTTAGAACTTCAACATTAACTAATTTTTTGATATAATAGGAACTCTTAATATCAAAGAGAAAAACCAAAAATTCAATTTTAGTTTTTTATTTATCAAGATCTAATAACAATCATGAATATTGAAAATGAACGAACTACATTTTACCCGTTTTAACAATTTTGTTTTAATATTAAATAATGATCAAGAATATTAAGGTATATTGTCTTCTAATCCAAATGATAAACTCAATTAAAATTAATAATTGTTAATTCAAATGAGAGAAATGAGTTGGGATATAATGATGAAAAAGAAACCAAAAACGGCAATGTCCCCAAAGAATAAATAAGAACTAATAGTTATTAAAATGAATAATATTAGTCGGTACTCCTTCTATATTCAAGGATATTTTAGGCTCTCGGACTCTGTTCCTTTTACTTTGTATTATATATGATATTTTAATCTCTTTTTAGATGTTACTATCACTAAAGCTAATATTTTAAAATCATTGTAATATTAGGTAATAACCACAAACTCAAAGGAGAATTTTCATTCTTTGAAGAAAAAAAAAGAATATCCTTTTGGAACTTTGATATAATAGAATACTTGAGGAGAAACTTAATAGTTAGAGAAAAAAATGCTATAGTAAGATTAGTTTGGTCAAAAGATAGAAATTTGAATAGTGAGATATCATATATTCTTTAAGGTTTGGTTTAGAGATTGGTAGAATGATCATATAAAGGTTGTGTATGTCTGCCTCCTCAAAATGAGCAGAAGTTTAGTGGACTTTTGAGCAGGCTATGAAAATATTCACAGCCATTTGCAGTATATGTAGCTGCAGAATCATGTCAAATTGTAGGTAGTGATCGAATAGACAGATGTCTAAAAAGAAGTAGGTTACCTTAGAAAACTCATCATCAGAAAGCATGGTCAAGCAAACATCTGTGGACATATTTGAAACTTGAAGAGAAATCTCGCTGTTGCACTCATCGCTTGATCCGCGCTTGATCCCTGAGAAAACTCGCTTGAACAAGAAAGAAATCAGTTTGGAAGCAAGCTGACGATTAAGATCTTAAGGGAAGATAATATTCTATATAAGACTTGTAATAGATTTGAAAGATCTGCGCCTCACTCTCTCCATCCCATTTACTTGACCTGCTTGCTCTTTTCTCTCCCCAATTTAATCATATTCTTTAGTAGATTGATTTGTCTTATTTTCATCATGTCATATCTTTTCAATCTTTGCAGTGATCTATGCCACTTAATTCACATTTCAATTTTTTACTTTCAAATTTCTCCACATCCTATTAAGTTTAATTCTAGTAACCTATAATTAATTTTCTCTCTCAATATTGGTGTTAGTCGAACTAGGTCTTCTACTCCTCTTCCGGATGGAAGAAAACATGTTTTAGTTTAGCAACCGTCAACCTCCGTCGCGAAAAAAGTTGTCCGATCCGGAGTCAACTCATTTAGTTCTCTATGTGAATTCAGACATTGACTTTTTAATATTTTTTAAAAATATTTACATATTTAAAAGTAAGATAGAAATTACTGCTAATCACACTTATTTTGGTAAAATGTTATTTAAACTTATTCTAACATATTTGTAGTCAAAGAAAGATACAGGTTGACTTTGGGCAGAGGAAGTATAATAAAATTTAAAACCGAATACGGTTTATTTGTTCCAAACAAAATACAGAAGGGTGTTAAGACTATATTGTCCTCGCAACATTAAGAACTCAGCAAAATGACTAACAAGGAAATCTGGTTCATGGGAAGATGAAAAACGAGTTTCAAGTTTCAACTTTTATTTCATGTGCTATTAGGAACATTATGATTAGATGCTTGAACAGATTATCAATGACATGATAACAGCAAAAGGTGAAGGAAACATAATCAATTAAAATGGGAAAAAACAGGCTTTCTGGTTAATTACTGTCCAATTATCCAAAAACTTCTTATGGAAGACGCGAGGGATGTTTGGCAACTATTTCAAGATAAATCAAAGTATGAAGTCATTGTTAAAACAACCTGCAATTTGCACAAGCTGATGAGAGTTACTCCGCCTGTAATCACGTGGATCTAACTTGATCCGGACAAAACTTCCTATAATCTTTGTTTCTATTGGCTGAGGCTGTTTGATAATCTCCAGCACCAAGCTCCTCCTCAGGTAAACAAGTTTGATATTTTCAGGAATCAAGGCTGCAAACGGACTCTTAGCTGCGGTTGAATACTTAACTGACAACATCTTGTTTTGTTCAGCTGGACTTTGAGCTGCTGTGGAATACTTAACTGAGGACATCTTGTTTTGTTCAGCCTTTTTCTCAGCCACCAACTTTTCTGTGTCATTGTCTTCAAGATCATATTCAAGCTCATCCTTTTTCGATCGCTCCTCATTTTCAACAAAGTGACTGTCAAGGAGGCTATATATTCTGTGTCTGTTGACCTCTTTCTTCCCAAAAACAGCTTGTAACCAAACGTCACAAACGATCCTTTTCTTTTTAACTGGATGGATAAGGTTATGTTCTTTTACATATTTACTTATGATCGAGGTCACATCATATTGAGTTAATTTTTCTCTAGTATCTTGGCCAACAAACTGAAGAAAGTCAATTAGAGCTTTTGATCCCCATCCGACAAATTCATTTTTCTTTGACTTTACTCTTCTTTGCATCTTTGTTTTTTGCTGTGTACATCTCTTCTTTTTAAGTCCTTTCTTGAAAGGTTCTCCGTCATTTAAATCTCCATCATCCGAAGCGAGTTGCTCATCCTCTTCACTAAATTCATCCTCTTCATCCGAAGCGAGTTGTACATCAGAATCAGAGTTAATTCGGCCACTATTTTCCTTGTCTAATTGAGCCTTAGCAGCAAGAACACTGTTTTTGTCAAAGCCTTCTTTTTCCTTTACTATCTCGTAATACTCCCTGAAAAGGCCCTCGTATGTTTCCCGATCTCTGAGGTCTACACGTTCCTGGAAAACAACAATCATTCATATGAGAAATGAAACAGATTACTTCATCAACTACTGGATTAACAGAGCAAATAAGAGAGGAAGATTATAGCAAGAAATAAAAGAAGACTCCTCTAACTGAATAATAGTGATAAAACCACAAGACGTAATCTTACATGCTCAAACCGAGGAAATGTTAGCTGTTAAATAGAGTTTGTGACCAAAAAGATCAATATCATAATATCCACCTCACATGTAGCTAGAATAAATTCAACTTCGGAACCCTAGAAGAAGAAAATCCAGAAAACAACAAAATGATGATCCAACCTACACCCCGTAATACAACCTTGTCTACCGAGCTCCTTTCCTGTTAAACCAGTGTGAAGCCACTTCGTAAGAGACAAGTAACTTTTTGAACTTCCATAAAATACAGTTCACCTTCCAAATTGAACAGGAATTTCTGTCTTTTTCCTTATATAATCTCTATTACTTCTTTTTAATAATCACAGATGAATATAGATAGTATTTTAAAGAGAGACTCATAAAGCATCTCATACTTTCCTATTGTCAAGCCTGCTGCGTCTCAAAGTGCTTTCGAGATTGGCTTCATTTATCTCCTACTATCATGAATATAACACACAATTATATGTCAATGCTGTAAAGTGTCATGCTAGTAAGGTGCATGTTCAAGATATTTCCTGGGCTAGTTCAGTTAAGTTCTCATGACAAATTTTCTTCAGATGTAAAGATAAACATTTCCAAAATAGTAAAGTAAGTAATTAATTAGTACTGAACCAAACATTATAGTTTGAGAATAACCATAATAGTCATGCATACCCCATCAGAATCAACATTCACGTCTTCTTCCACGAGCAATGCGAGCTTTAAACAGTTATTGCAGAATCCATACTTCCCTTTAAGAAGGACAAACTCGACTCGACCAATGCACCGAGAGCATACAGCTCTATCACAACAATAACAGTGATAATTTGGACTTCTCAGGCAAACTAAGCATTTATGCCATCCTGGAACATGGTAAAACTGATGTTACTTTTCACACAATTATTTAACTCTATGTAATGAAAAGGCAACACATGCCCAGAAGATAAGTACTCAAACTAAAAATATTTGAGTGCAATCTAATGTGTTTGAGATTACAGACAAACTCATTTATTTCAGAAGCAGTTACCACATACATACTCTAGCATTGTGATTCATCATTCCAAAAAGTGGTGCAGTAGCAATTTGGAGCCAAATAAAGCAATTGAATTTATTCTAATATATTTTTGTAATTTAGAGGCAAAATTGTTTCTAAATCAAACTCAACACTCCAGAAAATGTGATTCCAACAATTCATTTCTTAGTAAATTACTAATTTAAGCCCTTCTATATTCTCTTGACTCATGTATATTATCATATTAGAATCAAGGTTTGTTAAGCATACACACGTACGATTTAAAGAGACCTAACCCTAAAGAATTATGGCTTCGATTAGGTGACGAAATTCAATCTTGTATCTACATATTAAGGTCTTTTTTAAAAAAAATCTAAGTCTACTTTTGAGCTTAACAATTTCCGTATCGTAATTTATCTCCAAATAATGAGAAAACAATTCCTTATGCAGTTTTAATTTCAGGATTAAATCAACACTAAGCATACTTGCTCATCCTGAAATAGGGCTAGCCACCAAATACTTTTAATTTTCTTTTTGGCTCCTTTATATTTTTATTTTCCTCCTGCCTTGTGCAACAAATAGAAAATCTAACTACACAAAGGAAGAAAAAAAATACTGGCTCTAGCAAAGAACAGTTTTCCTCCTTCCTCTCTCTGCGAGTAGGTTTTCTCCAATACCATGCAACTGCATCAAAAGGACTGAACGGAGAAATGTGAGACTCTCCGAAACTGCCTAGAAAGTAACTCTTTCCAATTGTGCCAAGACAGTTAGCAAAAAATTTCACAATGAAGTAGCAAAAGAAGCTATATAACGAATAGTGGTGCTTTTGTTAAATATATTGTTGAAAAGCAAGTATCTCAGTTTCTATTTGTGCCACAAGTTGATTAACAAAAATCTCAGTTTCATCTTGCTTGATCAATTTGACTCTGCATGAAGTTTAAGAAATTAATTTGCAGATATTGCATCAGTAGGTGTAGAGGAAATGTCACATTAACTCTTTGAGTCTGAATATGCAAGTTATTATTGAAGCTTGCATGCTAACATTCTTAGAGAATATGATTTGATCTATAAAACATTGACCAATTTGTTGTAAAATCATCTGCAGCTAGACACTAAAAGTTATAGAGGGGTTGTCTCAAGTCTTTCTCGATCTTGGTTTCCTCATCACTCAAAATCAACAAGAGCTTTTCATATGCTATCATCAACACAACTAAAGATCTCCAAGTTAAGCTTTGTGCATTTAGAATGGAATAGATTCATAATCAATTCTCAAGCAAACTTTTTCTCTTCCCCATACTAATGTATTTTCCTAGTTTGATTTTTGGTGCTGTAACTAAGAAGGATTGACATTTGACAGATCAGTTCTTCAATATTTGTTTTTGAAGCACAAGAGATTAAATATTAACTTTTGTGTTATTGAGGATTGGAATAAGAAAAGTTGATTCATCAACGTAAATATGGTACTACAAAATATTTTTTCTCGTATAATATATCTAAGACTTTCCATTTAAGGATATTGAACTCCAAATTGGAACGGACCAAAAAGAGAAGTACGGCTTTCTTTTTGGAACGAAAAAAGTATATACTGGTATTTAGCATTATGCAAAGTCGTTTAAAGAGCTATCATAAACTCATAATAAAATTTCCATTAAAACTTCTATCTCTATTTTATCCATCATCTACGTAAAGAAACTTGCGATATGGAGGGAGATCAAAAGATCTTGAACGACTTAAGTTCATTACAACACTATACTATGTATTGCATATCAGGGCAGCCTGATGCACAAAGCATCCCGTGTTCATGCAGGGTCCGAGGAAGGCAGGACCCCAAGGGGTTGACGTAGGCAACCTACCCTAACGTAAGCATTAGTGGCTGCTTCCAAAAATCGAATTATGACAATTACGTATCAATTATGATAATTACACTCCAGAGATTTTTCCAAAATATTTTAGTGAAAATACATAAATTGCCCATCAAACTTGTTCGAAAAAATTATTTACACACCTTAACTTTACGGGCGACCTATGTCCCCCATATTCTTGTTTGGGGTGAATTTAATACCCCATTGGTAACACTTAGTAAGTCTTGTGGTGGGATGTGTAGTACACGCGTGCCACGTGTCAAAAGCTGCTTTATTTTTTTTCCACTTATTTAATTACTTTTTTTTTAACTCTTTTTTCCATGTCATCTTCATCACTACCTACACCACCATGGAACCAGCTCTAAACCACCTTGAAAAGCTGCAAAAACAGAAAGAAAACCCAAAAACAGTAGCCATGTCTTCATCCTTCAAATTCATGTAAATTAGCCACCAAATGACCGCTATTTTCGCTCCTTTTAACCACTAAAAATCAGCTGGCAAAACAGCCCTGAACCAGCCCCAAAACAGAGCTCAAATCCCCCACAACTAACCGCCAAAATCAGCACCTAAAACTCACCCCAAAATACCTCAAAATCCACCCCAAAATCGTAGCAAAATTAGCTGAGAAAACCAGAAAAGAGCTGCGAAAATCAGCTCCAAGACACCCCCAAATTCCAGCAGTTTTTTATTCCCTTTAAAATCACTCTAAAATCACTGAAAATCGCAGCAAATTCCAGCCCCGAAACTTCCCCAAAACCTGCTGAAATCAGCCCTCATACCACCAATTTACAGCTCCAAAACACCATAAAATCAGTCCAAAAAATAAGCCCCAAAACAGTTGCGAAAATGATCCAAAATGCTGCCAGTTCTAGCTTGTAAACCAGCCCCTCTTGCCCATAAAACCAGTCCAATACAACCCAAAAACAGCTTTTGAAACAGCCGTTTAGTCACTCGAAAAATCGACTTTCGGCGCGGTCTTAGATTGGTGGTCTGAGCTTTGGTCTGTGATACCGCCCTTGGATGTGATCCATTTGATTTTGGGTATTGGTCAGAGTGTCTCAATTTGCTGTATTTGTCTTTCATTTGAGCTTTTGCCCAGATGCTCCCAAAGGAATATTGTCAATAAAGGTCCAATTTTCTTCTCATTTCTCTAACATCTGATTATGTTTACTTCTTTCTAATATTGTTGCCTTCAAATGAATTCATGAGATATTTTGTTGTTATCATTGTGATTGGTGAGATATTTTGTCTTCTTTCTTTTTAATTCTTTGCAGTAGAATTATATTGATGCAGGTGTTTATGGGTAAATTATCTTCCCCACAAATAATTTCATAACTCTTGGACCTTTACATTTAATCTTAAATTTAAGAAATGAATCTTTCCCTCTTACACACGAGTTTGAGAGAGTGAAACTACTGCCTTTGCCACATCACCATTTAGGGTGGTATTAAATTCACCTCAAACAAAAATAAGGGGGATATAGGTCGCCAGTAAAGTTAAGGTGTGTAAATGATTTTTCCGGACAAGTTTGATGGGTAACTTATGTATTTTCTCAATATTTTAATACTAAGTGTTAGAAATATCAACTTTGGTAGCTGGAATAAAATTGCTTTTGGAAATCTATTATTCATCAAGGATATTTTTCTCCTTCTGATGAAATGTATATCGCTGTGTTATCCACACCAGCTTGCATACACTTCGACTAATTGATTGGACATCTACTACTTCCAAGTACTGGATAACTACTCACCGCTTGGATTTGAACCTTGGTCCCCAAGGACGTTATTCCAGCTCCTAGCCGCTAGGCCATTGTTTTAGAGATTGGTTGGAGACGATTAACTCAAAACTATTAAGAGTTTACTATACATGTGTCAATATTTTCTTCTCACAATGTAACAAGTGACATAGGGAATTGGTATGGGAAAGTTGGACTCTTCTCGGTTGAATCTTTCTACCATAGAGGATGTTGGAAGACAAGAAAAGAAGCGTAGAACAACAAGAAGACTTTGCTTTTTCACTTGGCTAGGAGCAAGAGGGGCCATTCTTACTCTTGAGAACCTTAGAAGCAGGGAAGTAACACATGTAGATTGTTCCGACATGTGTAAGAACTTTAGGGAAGATATGGACCATCTTATTTTGTACTACAAGGTTCACCAATTGTGGGTGGGTGGGTGGGGGGGGGGGGGGGTCTATTTGAATTTCTCCAGAGTACAATGGGTTGTGTGTGTTATGGTTAAAAACATGCTCCTTAATTAGGCCTTCGGAAGAAAAAAGACGACGAGCATAGCATGGGATGTATACCATTTGTACTTTATGTGGACAATATAGACGAAGAGAAATAAGAAAGTTTCTGAAAGGAGGGAAAACTCTTCGTAAATTAGAAGAACTCCTTCATTTTTGTAAATGACCGGTAAAGTTCAGGCATTTTGAGTTTACACAAGGAGTGAGTCATAGTAGGAAATGTATTGGAGTTATCTTTTGAGGTTAGGATGTTAGAAGAAGTCGCACAAATATTTTAAATAGTCCGGGCATGGGTCAAATTTTGAAGAAAGATGTCAATAGTTCTTATGTTGAGTTCCAAGTGTTGGTATAAACCATTATCATTGATGTGATGCTTGAGTAATTTGTTGAAATGTGTTTCTTGCCATTGAACTTAATTTTGAAAGTTGCTCGAGGACGAGCAAGAGTTTGAGGTTGGGGTGTTGATAAAAGGCTAAAAATGCATATTTTTTGGTGTAATTTCATCTCATAACTTGTGTAAATATGGGAGATTACACGAGTTTTTGTAGTTAATTATGCTAATTACGTGCATTCTTATATGTAGGAGCAAGTTGGATTAAAGATGAGCAAAAGAAGTTACTTGGGACCAAAAGACAATACTTCGCTCGTTTACTCTTGCGTGCACACGAGATAGTGAACGAGCTAGCTGAGGAGAGCTTGAAAAAAAAAACAGCAAATTATGGAAAAAAGGCATGGAAGTGCACGAGAGACCTAGAAGGAAATGAAAAAGAGAAGAACTTCGCTCGTTCACTCTCGCGTGCGCACGAGTGAGTGAACGAGTTAACCTGAATAGTCTGTCCAAAGTTGGCTTGTATTATTTCGCCCCATGCTAACCCTATCCCATATAAATAGACTTTAAACTCACTTTTAAAGGGGGGATTCGACCTAAGGAGGGGGAATTCGGCCTAAGAGCTTCGACCTAAGGGGGATTCGGCCTAAGGAGGCAATAACACACAAGGAGATCAATTGGGGAAACCATAACTCTAGACCTTCTTAATCTTGTCTCCAACACTTAGTATCTCTAGGTGTTAATTTACTTTTTTTAATTTGTTAGTTAATTAGTTAGACATAGAATCTTGATATTTATAGTGTTAGAATAGTTATGTGAACAGAGTGGCCGAAAAAGTGACCTAAACAGTGACAGACCACTGCTTTCGCCGAAAAACCACTGCTCTTGCCGGAAAACACTTTTTCGGCAACTGAGAAACCACAAAATCTCGATGGGTCGAGTCGGTAGAGGCAGGTGACCAGCCCAGTAGAAAAATCAGACTTGAAAGATGCCGGAAAATTACCTCACGCGCACACTCTCGCCAGAACCCTAACTGCCGGAGGCGCATGACGGCGCGTGTGAAGTTTTCTACCGGAGAACTCCACTGGGGTTTGGTCGCCGATGATACGAGAACCTTGTGGTGGTGTTGGAATTTGCACAAACCCCACTGAAACTCAGATTGACGTAAACAACTGCTTAAGTCACCGGAGAATTACACGGTGACGACTGATTTCTTCCTGGATGTCGGTGGAATGACGCACAACGATAATTATCTCACTAATGTTCTGATACCATGTGAGAATGCACTGGAGAAAAATCTATTATTGATATTCTATGTTACAATGAGCCATATTTATATGTATACATAACACATAACCTACTCCTATTTCATAAGGACTAAGTAGGGGTGGGCATCGGTCGGTTCGGTTTGGAATATTATCGGTTATGGGTTTACAAATTTGATATACCGATAACCGAACCGATAAGATATCGGTTATCGGTTAATCGATTATCGATCATTATCGGTTCGGTTATCGGTTTACCCGATAAGATAACGCAATCTAGATTTAAGCAAAAAAGAGAAGACAATGAGTTAAGCAAAAAAGAGAAGAATTCACATATAGTATAATACCCATTTCTGCGTTCTGTCCTGTGGCCACAACTGGAATAGTACTAATTCTTCAACAACAGTTGTCCAAATACATTAATAACAATACAAAGTAGTAGCAATTTCACCTTAAAATTAACAAGTCCAAACATATATTACTAACAGTCCAAGATAAATTAGATGTTTGTCAAATGCCTAACCTTAAAAAAGAAACCATAGAGGAAAACCTGATTTGTGCATGGGCAATACTAACACAGAAATGAAAAACACCTAGAAGGCAAGAAAATGTTGTCATGTTGTCAAAGCTCAGCGTACTGTACATAAGAATAATGTTAAAAAAAATACCCGAAACTGACGAAGATTGTCGATTGAGAATTAATAAGTGCGAAGAGAAATTGGTAGTAGTAATAGGCTGCACAACATGAGCTCACAAAATTAAGAAACGAAAATAAATAAATAAAAAAAGAATCATTAACCGTCAAAAATACCAATATGAAGATGAATTTTGTTATAGAAATTAAAAGCCTAATGTATAAGACTAAAGACTTACGCTGGGAGTAACTAGTAAGGTCTACGAAGAATGAAGATGAAGCAACTGAAGAGTGCGGCTGAGAAAGAATAGGAGAGAATGAACTGAAGCCCTATCATATGTATATACTTAAGGGTAAAGTCCTAATTTTATTAATTCTTATTGGGTTATCAGTTAACCCATTAACAAAATTGGCAACCCAAGGCCCGAATCGATCCAATAGTGAAAAAATTCTAAACCGTTAACCCAATAACCCGATATCGATAACCTAATAAACAATTAACGGTTCGAGTAATCGCTTTTACCCGATATATGCCCAGCCCTAGAACTAGGACTAATTACATATATTCACATAACTATTCTAACATATAGCTTAGAAATTATTCAAGCTTGTCTTCTTAGTGATACTTAAGAGTTACAGCCAAACCTTAGTTCTCTGCGGGATTCGACTCCGGACTCTTAGACTGGATCATATTTGCAGCGACCGCTTATTTTTTTTAGGACTAGAGTTGGGCGTGATCACCACCCTGCCTAATAGGAGCAATCGTGCACCGTTTATTTACCAATGTTTTGCGACATTGTTTGGCTGGATGCTACTCTTGACCGATAGAAACAATGTTCAAGAGTAACCGAACTAAATTAGAGAATTCCATATGGAAAGCACGTGAATTGGCTCCCCAATGCAAATTTTCTCTTCATATTTACCTTGAAACCAACAGCAGAATCACTTATTACAAGAGGGAGATTAAGGTGATGAGTTTGGTGGACTTATGAGTCCAAACTTTGGAATTTTTGAAAAGGTTTGGAATACCTGAACCGCTCCATTGGAGATCAATGTGGTTCATAAATTTGGATGAGAAAACAAAGATGATTTATAATGAGCAACCTTTAAAAGCCACGCTTTAGTGCATAAGCGACCAAAGGGAGCTGAGCATAACTAGCAAGTTGTTAAGATTTTAAATGTAGCATCCAGCCATCAAAAGATTCCATTGAGGCAAGATAAGAGTGTAACTACAATGGATCCCTAAAATTAAACTTTATTCCTAAAGCGGCTAAACTGTCATGAAGGGTAACTTCAGCAACTATGGACGACATACCATTACAGGAGGAATCATGTATCCTTGGAAATTTATTCCTTAACGAGAATTATTTACATGCAAAAAAAAAGTTACCAGCTTACAACAAATATTTCCTAAACATTCAAATCATTGGAAACCTTGTTTGTCAAAGTGGCGTCTTTCTAATTCCTTGAACACAACAGACAGTTTCAAGGGACTTCTCCCACTATATAACTTAATGTCCTCTCTTTTACATTGAATCTTCATCAAAGAAAACTATTTTGGTTCATCCAAGTAACTATGATAGGGTAAATAGGCAAGGTTGTAAAGCAGTTATCTAAGGAGAGAAGTTCATATCCCTTTTCATTTTAGTATACATGGAGAAATGGCAAAGACAGTTTTTCTTCCAGTGTTTATTTTGGAAAATCTAAATATAACAGAACTCAAAATTCAATTGCCTTATCTCGCTCAATATACAGTATGCTTTGTCATGCTTCACTTTGGCTATTCAAAATCGATAAATTAGCAAAAGAAGAAATACTACAGACAAAACAAAAGGAGAAAGAGTAAATTTAGAAATATTAAATTTGCTTAAAGGAGAATGAATTAAGAGGCTTGCCACATATCCAACGTTTATCACTTGTCAGAAACGAGTCAGCTATCCCCACACATGCAGGGTGATACGCTTTCAAGCATTGCCTGCAAAATCAAAAATATATTATTTAGTAAAAGTCCATGTAGAGAAAGAAATTAGAGCCCGTTTGGCTTAGCTGATTTAGAGTAGCTGATAAGCATTAGGTGCTGAAAAGCACTTTTAAGTGCTGAAGCTGATTTAAAAAATAAGCAGTTATGTGTTTGGATAAAAGTGCTTAAATTAAAAATAAGCAGCTGAAGAACTGGGTATACGAAGAGTTTTGTTCTAAAAAAAAGTATTTTAGGGATAGAATAGTAAATATTTTGATCAAACCTAAAGTGCTTATAAGCTGAAATTTGATAAGTTGGGGGAGACCAACTTATGACTTTTGGCTTATTTTTGGCTTATAAGCACTTAACTTATAAGCACTTTTAATTTTACCAAACGCGTAAATAAGCCAAAAAGTGCTTATAAGCTAGTTTGACCAGCTTATAAGCTTAGCCAAACACCCTCTTAGTCACCAAGTCACAGGGTAAACATCAGCAGCAAAGGTAATCAATCACAGTGCACCGTGAACTTCTTTAACCCTTTAAGTTACGAGAAACGAAATGATCTGCAATTGCGGCGAGAGTGAATGAACCCCAAGAAACTGAATATAATTTTGCATACCGACTGTGTAGAAAAGATTGTTTACATCCATTAAATTAGAGGAAGTGCTTATTTACTATAGTGTGCCACTGTTTCTCGAAGATACACAATGTATTTCATCCGTACTTCCGCTTTCTCAGTTGAACATGGCCTAAGTTGAGAGAGAGAAAGACAAAAGCATTATTGTATTCAAGCAAGTGCAATAAACTGTAGAAATGATCTTACATAATCATTCCTTAGACTGTATCCGAACATTGTTGGAAGAACGCCAGGGTGAACCCCTGGACCGGGACCACTCCCTTATCCTCACCAATTTGATTGAACACTAGCCCTCGCAACTTTGGTCTCCAATTCACCTCCTCTTTGTACAAGTGTTTATAAATTCTACTATTGCCCCTTACCTCATCTCCCTAATATACCCCCTTATCCACTTCCATAGGCAAAATTTCTCCTCTTATTCGCTACTGCTACCATATGAAAGAATTTTGTATTTAAAACCCCCTCCTCCAACCATAAAGCCCTCGATTTTTATCTCCTACTACTCTCTTGAGCTATAGCCGGCCTCTCTTCACCTCCTTCTTCCTCTCTTTTCCCGTCATCATTTCGCCCCTCTCAACTTCCCCCCAACTCATTCATAAGCTCTCTTCACACTTACTCTCCCAAGAACTTCCCTATTCCACACATGCATGCCCCTTTTAGCATTTTTAACTTCTTTGCGAGTTGGGATGATGGTTTGCCCGTGATTACAAATCCATTGCACCAGCCCGCCACTCTATGTTTGAAATCCGTTGCCTTTAGCCACATTCTCAAATCTGAGGTGAGCTTGCATGTTTGTACCTCTACTACCTTCTAGTCTTGCATGATGGGAGAGTAGGACGAACTAATAAGAACATGATTATCAATGAGCTTCGAGAGATCCTCCATTGCCCTTGGACACTGTTCCGCATCCCATCATTTCCTCCAAAAAGCTAATAATAGTATTTTTGAGGTCCCCCCCCCCCCCACCTCCACCCCACCCCCCAAATACCCATGGAAAATCCCATTCCACTATAGAGGTGGATAACTCATCCCAATACCTCTAATTTGACCCTACCCACTGACGCATATACATTCCAAAAAGCACCAAAACTTCCCAACTTTTAAACTTTTAGTCGCTGACAAGGCATCCTCGCCTCAGCGAAGCACACCTTTCTGAATTTAGAAAAGATTGAAAAATCATCTGGAACCTCCCTTATTTTTTCCATGCAATTTCTGAGAACTGCAATCACGCACCTCTTTTTTTTACCTCCATTTTTCTCTCGGTCCCGCATTCTCTCAAGCTAATTACCTCCCTCCTTTTACACTTCTTGGACTAGCAGCAACAAATTAAGTCATCGTCCCCTCCCCCTCCCCCTCATATTCATCCCCCAACAATGGACCTTTTGTTTGGGTGATTCATCCCCTCACATTCCAAGATACACTCTTACTTTATCCTTCCACTAAAGGGATATTGACCAGAATTACTATGCCATCCCTTTCTTTCTAAGGTATATACATTGTGCCAGCAAGTAGAGCATGAGGTTAAGAATTACTGTCCACTCACAACCCACTCTAGCATCCAAGGCTATTGGAATGTAAATCTACAGACTTTGTCTTTCATAATAGTCAAGTTCCTAATAAAAGAAGTCCCAGCTGAAAACTGAAGGAATTAACCTGTTTCATTTTTCATTCATTTTTTGTTTTTTTTATTATTGGAGCCAACTAACAATGTTTGCAAGCAAGCTTGAGTTTATCCACAGAAATTTATGGTTTGTCACGGAAAAGAAAAAAACCTTTCCCCAGAAAGCCAAACAGTGGCTATTACTTCACAAAAAAAGAATAATTTTTTTTGTAATCACAAATCTTTTAGGGCCAGTAACGCAAAATATAGAAAAAGACAAGACACAACCTAGGGTTCATGAAAGAGACAAAAAGTTCCCTCCCACCATGCAGAGGGGCAATTTTGACCTAAATTTAGTAAAGGTGTCTTTTTCAACCCAGAAAAAGAATTAAAAGTTCCCACATTTCATGTCCACGTTTTCATTGACCAAAGTAAAGCCCGAAAAGAAGGGGAAAAATACTGTAACTTTTATATTCAGATACTGTTTCGACGTATCAAAATAAAATGGTTTTTACTAAAATAACTTACCCATAATCACAAATCATTAGCTCTCCTCCATCTTTACATTCAAAGCACCAATCTTCTGCTATTTCTTCTTTCTTCAATTTCCTGGGCCTGCCCCTCTTCTTCGTCATTTCAGGTTCTTTGATATATATATATAGGCCCAAAGTTAATCACCTGAGACCCACTTTACTGTAATCAAGATAAGCCACTTGTTTAGTTCAGATAATCAAAACTATAATGCAGATAGATGATTCTTTTTCTTTTTCTTGGTCCAAAAATTTAAAGAAAACAAACCCTTTTAGAAAAAATAGCATAAAATTCAAAGAAATCACAAGAATAAAAAAAAATAAACCAGAGATTTTTACCTAGAAAACAATAATGTCGTTTTGATCAACTGAAAGATGTTCACAAAATAAATAAAAAAATCAGCTTTACTTGTCTAACCTTGTTCAATAGAAAGCTGATAGTGCTACCATTGGACAGAAAATTGGGGGGGAAGGAGAGGGATAAAGAGAAAAAGAAAGAGAGATTTTTGTAATTAAGGAATTGAATTGAAGAGAAGAGTCCTATTCAGGAAAGAAGAATCAAATGGGATTTGGAGAAATCTATGTTAGATTACAACAAATTAAAGTTAAGTTACTGACACACACTAAACAGTTGGCAGAAGAATGGATACAATTGTCAGTTTGGAACGAACAACTAAACAATGGGTGTGTTTCCTATGAACGAACAACTAAACATCTATAAAATATTTTTCCGCTAAATTGAACGGTTTTTCACTTATTTTATTTTAAAAAAATTCCGAAATTTTTATTATAGAGTTTTGAAAAAAATAATTTTTTATGATAAAATGGGGATAGAGAAAACTTTATGGGTAAGAATTGAGTAAATAATTTGTGGTGGGTGGGTATTTGCAGAAGATAGTTCCCTTTAGTATAAAAAGCGGCCCATAAAAAAGATTTAGCTTTATTTAAGAGGTATGCATTACGGGCAAATACCAAATCACTTATTATACTAGGTGAAAAAAATAATTGTACTAACTTCATTTAATAAACATTAGTTATTTATAACCTAAAATAAATGATAACTAAGCTATTATAACGTGTAAAATACATTAATTAAGAGTGCTTATATCATATCCTTTAGTGGATGGTATTTTTTCGAATCTCGTGTGAATGCAGAATACTTCATGCTTCTGCATTTTCATGATTTCGAAAAAAACAAGGACTTTAGTTTTGGGAATTTTATATAAATATCTCAAATAAGTCCGAACTTACCAAGCTTTAGCCGTTAATTATAGACCCTCCAAAACTAACCAAGCACGTACAAAAATTGAAACCCTAAATAAATAAGGATACTTTCTTATAAATATTCACGCGCAAAGATCTCCTTTCAAATTTTTAAGCGTGATCAACAACATTAGATGCAAGACGAAAAGGAAATTTTATGGATGAGGTAGCAAATAAGGTATTAAAATACAACATATGTGTGTGTGGTTGAGTATGATTGAAATTCATTGAAAACATATAGATGAGTCAATATATAAAATTTGAGGAATATTGGATGTAATTTGGACTGATTTTGGTATCAAAATTCGTAGTTAAAATCGAGTTCAAAAAAATCTTCTACAACACATGTATCAAACATGTATCATGCATGTATCTCATGCACAGGTATACATGGATATACGTGTGATACACATTTGATATAAATATGATGCATATGTGATATACATTTGATACACAATATGATACACATATCATCTTTTTTATGTTCATTTTCTAATTCGAATTTTCAATTTATACCCCCTAAAAATTTTACCAAATCATCCCAAAACCGAGATTTAAACTCCTTAAGATCTATCGAATCCATTCCAACAACGCTCCCTCAAATTAAAGAAAAAATTTTATTCTTTTTTTATTGCTACAAGTAACTAATTGGCTAATATTAATAGTATTTTATGAATTGATTAATTTTTGTACTAACTTACTAATGGATTGACATAACTGATAATTTTCCTTTAGTTTTCAAGCTTATAAAAGTAAATATATACTAATAGTTTTGGTATTGGTTTATACTTGATTGCCTGTATTTTTGTTTTTGGTGTTAGTATTACCTATGGTCGTTGTGGTGTCGACATGCATTGGTGTTAGTCTTTGTCCATGATTCATGAAGGATATTAATGAAATTAAAAGCAACTTTTACTTACAAGAAAAGCTATTTTTTTAAATTTGTACTACATGCATTTATTTTTGTCCCTAGAAGCATAGTAATTTATTTTTTCCATGTGGAATTTTATTTTATTTTATTTTCTCATTCCACAAGGATTTTTTTCTTAAAAAATTCTTGGTCCACATGGAATTGTTTTATTTTTTATTTTATATTAAACTTAATGACTCCTATTGTTAACATATTAAGAAAAACTCAAAACCCGTACAGTATTAGAATATAGTCCTCTTTGTTCTATCGCTTCTTCTAAGTTGGAAACCGTACTTATAATAAGAGGTGGACCTACTCTTTGGGTATAGGGTCATTGATCCCCGATAAATTTGAAAAAATATATATAGATACATACACATAGGGATGTTTATAAAAATCCGAAAAATCGAACTAAACCGAAAACCAAGCTAAACCTACCAAAAAAACTGATACTTTTTGGTTTGGTTTAGTTTTGGTTTGAATTTTAAAAACCGATCAAATTTGATTTGGTTTTTGATTTTAAAAAAAAAATAACCGAAAAAAACCGAACCAGACCGACTATAGAAGTAGTTATTTTAAATTTATTGTTACACCTATATACATGTATATTTTTGTACAAAGTTTCTAAAATTTAATGGTAAATGTTAATCGTTTGCACTTTTAGTACAGTTCTTTGCCTTTACATTCTAGTTTAATTGGTAGTTTTCTTATGTTAAGTGTAAGAATTCATTTCATGTTAAAAATAATTTGTTTTTAATTAAGTCCTTAAATTATTCATCACTATTTGATTCAATTATCGTCAATATATCTTGGTAATTGATAAATTTCTCAAAGCACAATTGATTTGATAGTGTTACGTCAAAAATAATATAGTCGACAGTTGTGTTTGGTAGTGTATGTCTTATATTTAAGAAAAAACTGACAAATAACCGAAAAAACGAAAATTCCGACATAAACCGAATCGAGAAAAAACCAACTTAATTGGTTTGGTTTCTTTTTAGGGAGAAACCGATCCAAACCGAACCAT